CGTTTATTTTACGAGCATTGGTATCCTACTCATGTTCCTAGAAATAACTAACAAGAATTCTTAGTTATTTAAAGAGAAAAGTGCAACATATGCTAGTATGGAAATAGCTTCTACATATCTGATACCTACTATCATCATATTTCATAAATATCAAATTTCATTAATACTTGTTTCGAATATTCTTGTTTTGTTCATAATTGTTCTGAAGTTTAATAATCACGAAATACATGAATGCGAGGATAAATTGTCCATTTAAAGTAATTTGCCAATTTTCTATGAGCCGGATTTGTAGATGCGCAAAACCAAGGAATAAAAAACATTTAGGTACCGATATAGATAATTTGGAACCTTATAAAATAGGAAAATATTATGATAGGGTCAAAACTAGTGTGTTATTAAAAGATTTTTTTGAAATAATAGCCTTGTTTTTATACGGTTCGGCGGCGAATTAGTTGGCGGATTACCAGATGGTAAGCAGTCGGTGCATCACGTGGACACCAACCAGAAGAGTTGCAAGTAGGTGGCCAGCCTTTTGAGGATTTAGGGATGGGGTCGGGATGGGGTTGGGGAAAAGAATGGGCCTCTACTAACCTCACTCACACGGCGAAACGCAGTGGTTGTATTGCCTCGTTTTTCTATGAGAGCGGTATCACTCTGGTCAAACCGGCTCATCCGTGCCAAATCATGGCTCTCCCACACTTATGTTCCCACTTGTAACGTGTTTTTTTTTGGATGGGTGAAAATCGTCGAATTGCTTTTCTCGCCCTGAATGCGGCGAAAACAAAAAAGAATTAAGCCGACTCCAAGTAAGTAGATTAAGATAATAGTAAAAAGAAGGTGAACGCGTCGAAAAAACAGACGAGATTTTTCGGTATTTTAGAATTGAGTTACAGAGAATCTAGTAGCCTCTCATATCAAGAAATATTAAAAATTAAAAAATCTACATTTTGTTGATGAGGTAGGTACTATGTGAATTTGTATCCCGTTACTCACATTCATTTCGCCTCTTAATCCTTCTAAGTACCTACTTATGTAAATTTAATATCCGTATACCATCATCGTGGTAGGTGTTATATGAATCGTTTTTACTAATCAAGGTCAGAGCGTCACGCTACTTAAGTAGGTGTGCTCTCAGTACAGACATAGTTCTACAAATGTTGCAAAAAATAATTTTAATAACAATTTAAGATACTTTTTATATGAGAGGACGGATTAACTGACCCGCAACAGCGGGGGAACTACGATGTCGTGCGTTGTCGACCTTTTGGGGATAAGGTTTGGGAAAATTATAGATAGGAGGAAAGGCGGGATCGGGCTTCCGGTAACCTCACATGCCGAAACACAACGCTGTGGTTGTGTCACACCAGTTTTCTGTGAGGCCGTGGTATCACTCCAGTCGAGTCGACCCATTTAGGCCGAAGCATGGGTCTCCCACACTTAGAGTGAGACGGAATGACTTCCGAAAAAAACTTGTTGTATCCAAACTTCTGGTAGATAGGCAACCTGTTACACTGAATAATGTACTTATACAATAGGCACGTAATTAACAACGCGAGTGCTGATTATCAAGTCTTTTATTTAATATAGCTTCCGATATTATTTAGTTATTACGAAGAGAATTTCGGAATTAAAATTTTCAGTTCAGTAGTTACCTAACTACAGATCGGTGTACCTACAGTAAGATACCGGTCGTTTGCCCATGTAAGATACAATACAAAACACATTGTCATACTACCGGTACACCGGAGTATAAATGTCTATTATAGGTATATAATTATATTATTACTTGATAGTTATCGCAGTTGTTATTTGTTGTTGTTTAAATAAATTCATTAAAGAAATCAGACACGCCTTCTGTCGCCCAACATTTACTGCATTCCTAACTCGTTCTACTAATATACAATTGAAATTATTTTAATAAGAAGGACGACGACTTGCAGTACAAGTACAAAGACTTGCGTAGGCAAACGTAGGTTCATGGGCAAAGGCACTGTAAGATTTTTATTATATACTAGTTGACTGCCCCCGCTTCGCACGGGTTTTACTATCCTAACAACAAAAGGGCCAGTTTTCCCCAATTTTCCCTTCTACTTTACTAATGTTTTCTTTGATAAGAACCTTCTCCTGACCATAATAAATACAACAATAAAAGAATTAACTAAATTGGTCCAGTTGTTGTTGAGTTATGCGCTTACCAACACATTTTGCGATCCATTTATATATATATATATATATACTAGCAGACCGCCCCTGCTTCGCACGGGTATCCGACTACCCCGGTGTCAGTCATTTGTTTTGCAAACGAACGGCCACGGCGTCGAAAGGGTTGTTAATTCCTGCTATTCCCCTTAACTTTTCTAAAATGTTCTTTCATAAGAACCTTCTCCTGACAATAGCAAACACAACAAAAAAAGAATTAGCAAAATTGGTCCAGGCGTTGTTGAGTTTGCGCTTACCAACACATTTTGCGATCCATTTTTATATATGTATAACTAGCGGCCCGCCCCCGCTTCGCACGGGTCCAACTATCTCACTTTTAACGGGTCACTTTTTCCTAAACTTCCCCTCTACTTTTCTAATATTTTCTTTAATAAGAACCTTCTCCTGACAATAACAAATACAACAAAAAAGAATTACCAAAATTGGTTCAGGCGTTGTTGAGTTATGCGCTTACTAACACATTTTGCGATCCATTTTTATATGTATATAAGATATATATATATATATAAAGATTAATTATATGTATCTATGTAGGTACTACGTTTGATGTAGCTTCACTAAAAGGACTGACCGACACTTTTTATCTTTAAGCTTTATTCGACGTAAGGGTCTAATTGAAATAAATGATTTTGAATTTTTATGGTTAAAAATACCCAACTCTGTAGTTGGGTCAGAGAAAATTTCAGCGAAAATCAGGACTGTTTCTGAAATCGGCTGCCAAGGATAAATGAACGAAAACAGGGAAATACATAGATCGATGTCATCGATTGAAATTTTTGACTTTCTTTATTAAAGGAAAACCTAAACATAAAGTAGGCAACAAACACAAAATTTTAAGTACTCAATGTTCAAAACACTTTGATAAAAAAAGTTTTTAAGTAAATAATTCCGTGTACACTAATGAGATTGACAAGTAGATGGTGATGATAAGTTTATGTCGAACGTTTATGAATAATTTATTTGTACAGTATCCGTGAACTAGTCATGAACAATGGATGAGAGGATGATTATATCAGCAAACATATATGACACGGCTCAAGTGATTTATGATCGGAATAAGATGAGTTCTCCGTTTATCTCCCTAGAAGGCTACGCGTAATTGCAATCATTGTTGTTCCCTTGTTTCAAATTGTACAGATAATAGTAGGATATAATATCACCACAAATTTATCCTATTTATAACAATGTATTAAAATTAATGTGAAGTAATGATTACTGATTGTACGGCGGTCGATGGAGTCTTGTGTAATAATCAAAGTTGTCGTCCAACTTTTTTATCGGAACTTCATGAGTATGTATTTTTCCGCGCGCGCCTCAAATAGCCAATAGACCACGACAGACGGGGCCCTAAAGGGCTGATGTTCAGCCGGGGTTGTGGGGTAAGCGCAATGAGGCACCGCGACCTCGGCACAGAGCAGAAGAAGGAACATAGCACAGAGCAGAAGAAGGTTTTTAGTCAGTAAGAGTCTGACACTCCCTCCCGCCCGGCCCTGTGCGGGAGAAGTAATTTGATGATTTTCCCCTCACAAAAAAAAATGAGTATGTATTTATAGGTACTACGTACTAGGTACATACTTTATAATTGGATATAGAATCTAATATCAATACAAGATATGTTGGATGTGGTACCCAAAGAACAGATAACTTTATCTGTTCTGTGGTGGTAAGTACCTACTAAAAGCAAAAAGTTTGTGGTATACCTCGTTAGCGATCCACATAGCGTGTTAAACATAAAGTACCTATGTAGGTACATACAGACATACATATATAGATATGCATACATTGTTGTCGTTTAAGAATAAAGCTTTTATAAAATGTTCGTGGGAAGAATCTTAGAATGACGTAATATCTCCCTAACGCTTGACTGTTATGATAGCATCAATACAATTAATTTTAAAACAGTATTGAGTGTTTGCCTTTTGTCTGTTAAAGAACTGGGAGCGGCTAGATACGATACTTTTTCTTATTATTGACGCGTTATTTATGCTAGATATCTTGCAAATCTTTATTTCCTAATCAATAAAATTATCAAACAATTCTGTTAGTTTATTTTTAAATAAGTCTTTTTTTAAATGTGTTTTCCTATGATGTAATGTTTAGCCGACAGGATATACTCTCAAGAGTTATTAACGCCCGGTTCCTATAATTGAGAAACGATCCGTTTTAATTACGAATAGTAGTTTTATATACGACTCGTAAGCTAAAACCGTTCCTATAATAAACGTCTCGTCGTGCAACTTACTGACGGTTTGCAACTAACGGATATCGGTAAGCGAATTGTATGGAGATCTATGGTGTCTGTGTGTTCCTATAAATATTTTAACCGTCAGTAGACGGTCAAGATAACCATTCGTAATGTCATTTGGTCGTATTGCGTGTACAACGACGATTCGTTAAATATAGGAACCGGGCATAAAATATTTAGATAATGTGTTAGAACATGTCTAGACTAGTTTCCTTCTAGAACCAGATTTGAAATTTGAAAACCAAAGATTAAACTTTCAAATAAACAATATAGAAGATAACAACTAGAATAGTAGATATCTGTCTTTATTCCATTTTAATCAATTATTGTTATATTGAGGTAGAATTAAAACGATTTAAGTAAGTTTTAATTTTTTATTTGATTTTAACATAATGCTATAATGATTCTCGTTTTTGTCTCACAACGCTACGTAAATTATTTCCTCATATATTTAGAATGTTTTGTTTACATACAAAGATAAAACAACTGAATAATTAAGTCAATAATCATTACACATTATTTGAGACAAAATTCCGTTTGTTTATCACATTGTTATCACGACATTTATCGACTATCGTTTCTAAAATATTAAGTAAAATTAAATAAGTCTTCGTTTTCATAACAATACTAAGTACTTAGGTAATTCGCCATTTATCGCTTTCCATAACCTGGAACAAACCAAACAATTTTTGTAGCAATTGGACATCTCTATAAATATTCTTAAACGGTGGGAATAATATGCTATCGGTGCTATTAAATTTGTTGATATGGCTACAAAAGAAGTGTATATTTCACACACTAACAAAACCAGTCAAATGAAAAATGTCCACCTATTGTCATAATTACTTTTTGATTTATTAAAGTGAAAAATTAAATGACTAAAAACAAAATCAGCAAAAAATATTTTAATAGATACTCATTTTACCGTGGAAGCTTTATAACAAAGCAAGTGGAAATAAAATGATAAAAGTTAAAGTTTCTCACCTCCTTTAGTGTAAGCACCAGCGGAAGAATGTGCACTTGCGGAACTTCCGGCAATGCTGCCTCCCGCTCCGAAAGCGCTAGCAAGACTTTTTGCTGTCGCAGCTGACAAACTTCCAACTCCGCTCAATCCATCGGAGAATCCGAATTTAGGAAACCCATGTTGTCCACGATTGAAGTCAAAAGATGCACCACCATTATGTGACCCTCTACCTGATCCACCGCAGCCGCCGCCGCACGGACTACCGCCCTTAACATTTCCTCCGTGATTGTATGACCCATGCGTATTTTGTCCATATGATCCTGCTGTGGCGCCTGAAGCAGCTCCCGCAAATGCCGTAGAACTGGCGATGCTGCCAGCATGTAAATCTGTACTTCCATGAACCCCTGGAGATCCTGGACCTCCTGTAGCTGCCGTTGGGGCATTGTAACCTACGGAACTCATACCGTGTGGTGAATTACCGTTAACATTGTGAGAATCTCCGTGTGGCCCGCTTGTTAGAGATAAGTGTCCTCCAGTTGTGGGTAATGGTCCAATTTTCCCATCATCATATGGCTGAAGAACACCAGGGGGTCCTCCAAATCCTCCAGTGTATACAACGGCGTGAGCGTCTGCAGCAGCTGCTGCTGAAGCATGAACTCCGTTTGCAGCACCGCTATGTGAAGGTGTAGCTGTAGTGTGGGTAGCGTGAGGGCTGCAGTTTCCGGATGAGCAAGCAGTAGGTGCAGTACTTACGATTGGTTTATTATCATTAAGTACAGGGTTAACAGCTGGCACCTTAAATTCATTAGGTTTCAGTAAACCTGATGCTCCGCCAAAACCGCCAGTGTAGATTGGTTTTTTATCACTTTCAGGTTTAACACCAGACACAGATCCAAACTGAGCATTAATTCCAGATTGAGCGTTAGCTCCAGATTGAGCGTTAGCTTCATACTGACTATTCGCTCCAGATGTCACAGTACCACTAGCCGTAGGTGAATTTACGCAGTTAGATGTTTTACAGTTAAATGATCCGCTGCCAGTGGAAGGGATATCGTAATTGTGGTCAACAGGTTTAGCTGCACCAATGAATCCGGCCGTGTGTTGAGGTTGTGATGGACCAGTAGGGTGTACACCTGTATTGGGCTTGGTTAAACTAGTTGATCCAGGATGCACATTTTGTCCAGGCGACGAACCGCTTGCGGGATAAACGGCACAATTTCCTGTTTTACAATTAGGCGAATGGCCAGAAGACGGTGATGTTTGAGTATAAGTCGCTGTGGAGGCAGGAGAGCTGATTCCATTCGAACCATGCACTTCGGGAAGTTTACCGTTACCGGTTGTATGAATAGAAGGATATGTTCCACTTGAGGTGTGAGAACCGAAACTTGGTTTTGTGACTCCAAATACTTCAGTTTGGGCATTACCTGCAGCGGTAGTTGCCCCAGAAGGATAGCAGTTCGGTGTTGTGCAACCGCCAGTAATGCCAACGGAGGTAGGATTATTGTAAGAACCTGTAGGGGTATAACTAGGGCTACTAGGTCCAGTTACATGAGAATCGTGTTGATTAGGGGTAAATACTCCTTCAGGGCCTCCAAATCCGCCAGTATAAGATGGTAGTTTCTCGCTAGATGCACTTGCACCAGTGATTGGTTTCGTTGAGCCAAAATATCCAGATGGTGCTGTTGCTCCAGTTGAAGCACTCGCGGTAGGTGAATATCCACCACAAGCTGCTGTTTTACAACCTGTTACACCAACGTTACCTGGTTGTGGTGTATTATATGACGCGCTCCCAGGGTGTGCATAATTTGCATTAGTAATTGCTGTATGAGTATCAAATTCATTTGGTTTCAGCATTCCAACGGGACCACCGAAACCACCTGTATATGTTGGCAATTTGTCGGTAGGTTGGTGGTTATAACTACCTGTCGGCACATTAGATCCAGAAGCAGAAGGGGATCCAGAGCAACTAGGTAAACTACAGCCGGTCGGAATACTTCCTGATGGTTTCCCATCGTGTCCTGTACTAGCATGTCCGTGACTTGGGTTAATAGCTGGTGATGGAACATTAAACTCATTAGGATTTAATATACCAGCTGGACCTCCGAAACCTCCTGTATATGCCGGCAGCTCGTCATTTGATGGTTTTGTTTCAGATGGTTTACCATGTCCATGTCCAGGTGCTACGTTAGATGCTGATGTAAATGCTGGAGTTGATGAATGAGGGTTGCAATTTGGTGTCTTACAGGCTGTTCCGCTTAGGACAGGAGTGTTCGACGGTGGTTGTCCAAAATTAGAGATGGGGCTTAAAGAAAATGAAGGGCCGTTAGGTACCTGACTGTTTGGTTTCCCAAAACAACTTGATCCTCCACAATTGGTTGAACTAGGACTGTTTAAAGATGAGGGGCCTGACGTTACATAATTGTCGGTATGAAGTCCATGTTGTTGGTTCACGTTCGTGGATAGTGAATTTTCGTATGCGGTAGCTTGTGTATTCTTTGGCTGGTTCTGACAATTACCGCCATCACAAGGAGATTTTGAGTCAGGTTGATTGTATGACCCATGTATTGGCACGTTGTAACTGGACGGCGAACTTTCGTGGATTGGCTTTCCTGGTTCAGCGTTGCAATTTCCTGAGGTACACTTTTCTCCAAATTTAGGAGTTTCTAAAGATGTTGAAGGTTTCTGGGGATGTATGTTAACGTCAAAATCCGCATTAGTTGTACCTTGTGTGTTAGACGCACCCAATCCATAATTTGAATTTTCTGACCCATGATTATAGTAACTAGAGGCGGGACTTGAAGGTCCAGATGCACCACACTTTCCCTGAGAGCAACCTGAATCGGCACCATGAGAAGGTATAGATGTTTTGTCAACAGAATAATCTTTGTTGTTGTGAGCAGATTTCGAAGCACCATTGGCCACATGGATGTCATTTGAGTCGTATCCCGATGGCGAGGAATTTCCTGCAGAAGAAACACATTGACCGGATGAGCATTTGTTGGCTCCTATTCCAGTTCCAGACTCAGATTGTGGTTTACATTGCCCTGGTGCACATTTTTCAGTATTGTCATGACAACTAGGTCCCTGGCATCCTAGCTCTGGTGTACCTCCCGCTGCTGCGGCCGCTGTATTAGCAGCATTATATCCATGAGCGGCAGACCCCTGGGTCGCCTGTATGTCATTATTACCGCTAGTCTGACAGTGACCAGACGAGCAATCTCCGCCCCCATGAACTCCACCATTCAATCCAAAACCACCAGCTCCGGAGCCACTATAGGTAAATGAGCTAGAACTTGAACTTGAACTAGAACTCGAGGAAGATGAACTAGATGAAGCCGATTTAGAAAAACTTCCTGAATAGCTAGCTCCTAATGGCACTGCAACCGGTATGCCAAAAGCTCCAGCGGCAGCACTAGAATCAGCTGAAACAAAAAATCCGTCGTTAGGTATCAACAATGGAAATAATATTATTTCACACTGCAGTCTGTAATTATTTAAAACGTAGTAAATAGTAAAACTAATCACAATTGCATAATTCTCTATTTTGATAAATGAATAATCATATTTAAAGTGTCAAAGTAGTAACTAACTAAAATGTACCTATTGAAACGTATGTTATTTATGATACTTGATAGGTATCATTTCATACAAATATTATTTCATAATATCTTTATTTATTGTATATTTATACATGGGTTAGTCATATAATAACTACAGTTACCTACATTCATTAAAATTAAAAATATGCTCTAAATATACAATGCACGGTCAATTCGTACCATAATGAAGATCGAACTAGTCAAATTCAATACTTTTATCCAAATATCAAAAACTATACTTTTCTATGAAATTTATATGAAATGTACTTAAATTGAGTTATGACGTCATAGTACCTATTTGTGTGTCAAATAGCTTACTTATTTCTAATTAATGAGGTACAAAATATCTTAAACATAGTGTATCGATCGATCGATGAATAAAAGTATAGTTATTTTTCAATATTTTATTGTATTGAAACGTTGAATTAAATTATTTTGACCTAGGAAACTACCCAATGGCTAAATTTTTAATATTTTGTTACCTAATATGAAAAAAGTTACACTATAAAATTAATATTAGGTACTATTACATAAATTGTATAGCTAGCCATAAAATTAAGTCGAACACTTTGCATTTAGTAAATAAGCAGCACCTACCTCTCGCGGATGCTCCACCCTTGACCCCATATCCATAAGGGGATGCACACACTAAGCTCGCCGATAAAAGTACGAAGGCACAGGTGAGCTCCATCATTGTGAAGCTTCTCACTCACTATGTTTTTGTTCTGCAGCCGCTTGCTTTTATAAAGCGATACACAAATAGACGCCGGCGTATTATAGCAAAAAACCTGTTGGTATTACCGCGAATCAGAGGCTGTATTAGCGTAGGCAGTGAGTATTGTTTCCTCTGCACTAAAGCGCTGCACATAACATCGATACATAGCTGTCGTACACATTAAAGTTAGGTAGTCACTGTATTTAAAGACTTTAGTTTTAAGTTAAAAATTGCGCCTATTAGTACACGGTAGTGCTATTAGTCACTCAATCATAATATATGTCATCCAAAAACGAAGGATAGCAGGTAAGCGGGAAAACACGCTGACATAACCGCGTATGTACGTGGGTACATGCATTTAATGTCCTGATATTTTTACGATTGTATAGGTACATACCTATCGATATAAGTTTGCGATGCGATGTGAGGAAGATACTAATTAAGTACCTAAACATTGTGTAGATAACTGACTAGGTAGCAATAATAGATATCTGCTGCTTCTGTCATTGCTGGTTACTCATTCTCATAAGTCATCGGTTTATTTAAATTCTCTTTAAAAGTAACAAAAATATTTAGATAGTTTCCGCCCTACTGTGCGTAAATAATTTTGTGACTTTTTATTTACGTATAGATTATATTAATGTCGTGATATCCCTAAGGTTTAGGCACCCGCTTCTCGTGCATGAGAGTGCGTACGGGTTCGAAACCTGGCTAGCAACAATGTGACTTTTTTGATTAAGGTATATGTATAGGTACTTAAAACTCCTTTAAAAAAAAATACTTGCGGATCCAAAGTAGTAAAATGTGGGTGCCTGCCCTGTAAAACAAGAGAATAATTACGCCGCACATTCTTACAAACTGCCACCGGAAAGTGATTTTTGACCATAATCTCCCCAGTAGTTTTTTTTCAATGTCATAAATCCGTCATATATCAAAAAATTGGTTTAGATGTTCAAATTCTCAAAACAACACTTCATATCAATACCTGGGTGGTCAAGCAAGAAAAGGTAGATATTAGGTATAATTTCACAGTCTAACAGGTAGGTATCTACCTAATGACTTGGGAAGAACAGGTTGTAAGTTGTACCTACTCTTATTTTTAACATAAGCATTGTAACCATATAGGTACATATGTAACCAACGAAATAAAATTATCTAATTCATAACATCTACTACCATTACGCAATAAGCGTTTCGTACTAAACTTAATAAATATTTACAAAGAGCAATTACCACGCACTTATCGCCTTTTAACGCCATCAAATTGGTTGCTTCCAAAAAGTTTCTTTTATTGGGTTTGTTAATAAAGTCTATTTAAATTTTTTGCTAGTTAAGCTACATGTCCTTCAGCTTCATTGGCTGTTCTTGGGAACTAAGGTGCCATGATCGTTTTAGTATCAAACTACAGGCTACAACTGAACATAAGCCTCTCCCATTGACATTCACATCGGTACCTATTGGAGGCGACCTTCCTGCATTGAACGGCTCCTTATGACCTTTATCTGCCTGTCAGTCGTGAGGGTGGACGTCCTGCGCTGTGCTGGGGTCCAGCGTTCTAGATTTTCCGCCTTCCATTGGCCGTTCAGTGGTTCAGACCATTAACTTATATCTACACAAACTTCTTCCCTAATATCTATTTTATTACTACTAACGACTGGGATATTACAAGATTGCCGCGTGGTATGGATTCTTTACCTTTTCGGTAGGTCTCATCTGCGACTGCTTGAATCCGAGGTTGGGCAACGTTTATTGATTTTTACAAAATTCATAGTCGTCCTAATTTTTTAATGCGTAATAATAGGAGTACAATGCTAACCCTTTTTTTCATGGGACTCGTAACATAACTGGCGAAAAATGCATTTAAGTAATACTACCGAGATACTGTGTAGATATTTAGGAGTGTAGTCTCCGGCAATATGAACGTTTGTTGATTATAATGTGAGGTACCTAGGTATTATGTGGCCTTTGTGGAATCTATAACAATTTTTTGTACGTTCAGGCGTTTTTGTCAAGGTTACTTTCCATGACAAAAACTACATATTACATTATTAGGAATAAGCGTAACAGCTTGAAACTACAACCCATTTAGTTTTAAGTCTATGGCAACAATTGGGCGATCTCTTTGCGCCTTCATGACTTATTCATTACTTTCTTTTTCTCTTGTATCAAAATCACTAAGGGAAGAGGAAACTATTTCAATTTCTTTAAAAACCTGTTTTGTAAAAATTAATGAAAATGTTTGTACTGTTTTGTAAAAAAATGTAAAAAAGTTCATGTAGGTAATGTAAAACATCAATATTTATGGTCTACCTACTATGGTACCTTTTTTTTGTCAGGGGTAAATCATCAAATGACTTCTCCCGCCCAGGGTCAGGCGAGAGAGAGTGTCAGACCCTTATTGACTAAAAACGCCCCCGTTCCTTCTCCTGCTCTGGGCCGAGGCGGCGGTGAGTCATTGCACTTAACCCGCAACCCCGGCTGAACACCAGTCCTATAGGGCTCCGTCTGTGGTGGTCCATTGGCTCTTTTAGGCCCGCGCGGAACGCTACGCGCCATACGCTCGGGTCTGATTCCGGTCGGGCGGCGAGCTACCCTTACTCGCCGTCCACAGACCCGCGCTTACGGTGGCCGGAGATCATCTTTCGATCCCCGACGCCCGGAATGTCGCCTACTGCGGCGGGCGGGGCCGCGAGGAGGATAGTGCCCTCACACGCTCCGCCTCCTCCTTTGCGAGCATCACTGCTTCGCAGAAAGAGCAGACGGCTTCCCAGTTCCTCTCACTACGAACCATGGTCTCGACTAAGGCTGGGCGTATGGTACCTGGCTTACAAGTGTTGCAGCAGTTTTGGCATATCCCTATAAACGACTACCGAGTTACCCACTGCCGCCTACCCCGCCGGTGTATGTCCGGGTTAGCGGTGAATGATCAATGTTATTCTGCAGAAAATTTAAGTACCCGATTGAATGGCATTTTAGTTATGAGTCAAACTAAATTATGATAATGATTTAAATGTTGATAAAGCATCTAAATAGAACTCGACAGGGCCTATAAATCTAAATGACGTAAGCGAGGGCTGCCAAGGAGTAGTGAAGGTAGCAACTAGCGACTTAGCGAGTTGCGACGCTTGTCGTGTGACCGCAAGCGTGCATCCCGCATACATCCGGGTGACGCGTCGCATAGATGTTCCCACCACAAATTCTTTACCTCACATACCTACTATATTTGTACCAATCATTCATACATAAGTCGTGCACTCGACATTGTATTACACGGAATATAAAAATCCCAGTAACGTCATCGTTTGTTGTCTTATGTTTATTTAGGGAAGATATGATATAAAATGACTGATAGTTTTTTTTTTCTTCCAAGATAATCGGAATATCACTGTAACACAATAATGTTCCAGCCTAATGTACGACCAAGGTGATTTCAGAGGTCGCGGCGGTTTATAATAATTTTACCTTGTAGAGGATGAAGCATACAGTAATATTTATGGGACGACTTTAGGTAGACCATTTTGTTCGTGTTTACATCTCATGTAAACTTATAAACATTTTCCTGTTTGCTCCTAATTTCGAAGAACCGTACAGAAAGGTCATAATAACAACGAATGGTTTTCAATGCTATTAGAAAGAACTCCATGTTGCTAATTCCGTGTCTGCGACGAATGACATCACAGTTCGATACCAATATGTAATGTCAAATAGGTAGGCTATATGTGATCGTATTTTAATAATATGGCTATTATTGTAATTTTTATGAGTAATAACAGGCCGTAACGCATTACTGTTTTTTAATGTTCATCATCTTTGATATAATGACTTATAGAATACTTACAATGTCTACCGCATTTTTATAGCCTTGATAGAATCTTTATGCATTTGTTGTGAGTAATGTTACATGATGTTTTTGAGGTCATTCAATGTTCTACATATCACTACCAAATAAAATATCAAGTAAATGAAAATAATGTATGTATTCGTAAAATACACATAAACAACTAAAGTGTTTCATAGATTCGACTTAAATCTAAAATAACCGTACCACGTATTAAGCTTTACTTAAAATAGACGTAAACTTCCAACGATTATTTAAATTGTGTAATATATCTATTAACAAGATTAATCTTAAGTGCTCTTGTGACTGTATTCTTGTTGTAAGGGCCTTCGTTATATGAATTCGTCGGGTTCACGCGGGGCGTCCAAGTCGCGGTAGTGTATCACCGGACGGAAATCGGCGCCGCCGCCCCTTTAACAATCAACCACATTAGCTACGTTAATAGCAACTCACCGAGCACGCAACAATAACTCCACACACAAACACTAATATCTACTACTGAAATCAAATCACACAGCTAGAAACTACTTAGGTCATTTTTCATTTAGTTTCAAATCTCAGCTTCCCGGGATACGAATTTTGATAAAGGTGTGAATAGGAATTAGAATAAAATAATGTAGTAATAATTTCGGACAGTTTATTAAAAAAGATACAATAAATATCATGATTGACGACAATATTGTAAACACAGAAAATGTATCCCTTTATAGACTATTGTCAGATACAAAAAAAGACTTAAAAAGGTTTGTGTGATTGAAAAATATTTTCACAATTATTTAAATATAACATTTTTATTTATTTGCATAATTTTAAATTTTTACATTAAAAATACTCCCAATTAACATGGCATAAATATAATGACATTTACGAAACATGCCTTATTAAAAATCAAATACATGGTGTTATTGATTAAAATAATTTTGACATATTATACAAATTTAAAAATATTAATTAGCTGTAAATACTATACATGTGTGTATCAGTTCATCTACAACTGAAATAACCGGGCATAACGGAATGCTTAAAATAACAATAAAAAAACTACAAACTTGTTGTATAATGTCATTTACATGCATGTTTAGAATATGTCACCACTGTCCGGGAAGTCAAGATCGTTGTATGCAATAATAGGCCGGGACCGGTCCACATTTTCCCTGTAAATTATTTCTTACAACTTAAAAAATGTACATCGCCAACGCTGTAAGCGAATAATTTAAAGGATGCGAAGCCATAACGAATAGTTAGCGTGAGTCAACTCATATCAGCACCAGCATCAAACTGAAATGTTAGGTAACACAGCAAAATTGTTCCATGAAATACTGAATGTATTCCATCTTATATAAAATTAGAGTTGTCTCAGACAATTAATTGAATTCGACAGTCCTATATATGACAAGGAATATAATATGTATAGATTGATTTGTGGAAATTTCAGATAGTGGATTTGTTACCTATGTAACATTTCAGATTAAAGCTTAGGTTTGTATTCATATGAACGAATCCTAAGACAATTTAAACACCCAGACGGAACAAAAGCCATATTAATAATGAAGCAATAAATATGATAGAATAATATGATGTACTACATAAATATAGGTAACAATATACATATATCATTATTCACGCGTAACATTTCGTAATAAACTTTTGTTTTATTAACATGCGTAAGTATTAAGTTCATGCTTATATCTGATAATAAAAGGAAGCTCAAACTCAGTATTACAGGCGACAGGAATGATCGCGATTACGTACATACTACCTAAAGCAGGTTAATTATGATAATTATTATCACTTGCTATTTATAATCTGTCATATGACCAAACGTGTCAAACAAATTATAGAACATTATTGTATAGCATAAAAAGTAACAGTAAATAAATATTGATTGTCAACGACAACGAATTTGCGAAACAAACTAAATATTGTCTGCTAAATATTACTGTATATGTTTATTTAGTGATATAGTGCAGCAGTATTTAGAGCAAATTTTTACTAACATATGCACACTGGTAAATTAAGTTAAGAAACAATGATATATGTACGGATGTCAATACCTTTCATGTGAATAATAATTTGATTTAAGTGACATGTAAGAGTGCGCGTTGACGATATGTAAAGGTTAATGTTGGGTCAAAATACAGATAACCTAGACAATATGCTTCATTGTAATCATTTACAAGCAAAGGTAAAATGTTGTAAGAGAATTAAATATAATTCGGTGCACATATCTAAGTGAAGAGCGGACAGAAAAGCCATTGTTATTGGTAAATCGTGTCTGCCAATGATCTAATATGTCCTATTACAATTCTAGACTGTGACTCGTTACATTGCATCTATGCACTATGAATTTAAATCTGCATTTTTATAACTACTTGAAGTAACTTATTCTTTATGTGAAATTTACGTTTAAAATAATTGCTTTTTAGTTTGACTTTACGTAAATTATCGAATAAATTATTTTGTTTCAAAATCACAATTGCCTGCATTATTTTCCTTTCAAACAGAACAGGCCTTCCGGGCTTGGTTACTCTTGTTATAATTGCATACTATAGTTTCATGCATGGAATTGAACTAAGCACAAATATGTTATTTCTACAAAAGCAAACCAAAAGCAAGATTAAAAACTAATAAGTATAATTATTATTCTACTCCTTGAACTAGTAACTAGTAGAATCATGTTTAAAACTACAAAAACTATACTATAACAATGTATCAACCAAATTATACAGTTATGACGAGTTTGTTAGGAGAATTTGTTTATTAAATGCAATGAAATGACATAATATGGCTTTGACAAACGAATTTCTTCTTTTAGCCTTATAAAGTTGAATTACAATTAATTTCTCATTTCTATAAACTTTTCGTTTGTAATAACCCGATTAATGCCTAGCGTGAACTGCGATGTAATATTGCGAATTTTAAACTAATTATTGTTAGAAAAATAATTAGTTTTAGGAGGATATATATAAAATCCTAATATAATTTTACTGCGCGATAATCGTAGTGCGAGCTAAGCTTTAAATTAAATAAAATAGAAGCATGGACGGTAATGTTACCTTGGTCTAGAGAAGCGTGGGTGTCGTGGTGCATACGCTGCAGGCGGGGCCCAACCGCCCCAGCCCCAGCCGCGTGCCGCTGCGGGCCCGCCACCCGGCCCGCCTGGACCACCTGGACCACCGGCGTACCTGCTGAAGAGACCAGATCCAATACAGCCCAACTGGACATCATTAATTGCTCAAGAAGTCAACAGCCCAACAATCTAGTTCATTATATAGTACTCAGACAATCGTCGTCACATTCCATCCAATCCAGAGTCATTGACACCAGTAAAAACATTATAATTAAGTGTACTGACGGAAGGCTCCTAGATCTTTCATAATCCTGTCACTTGGTAGAAGCTTTGGTAATTGAAATAATGTCACTGATAGGACTTATCTTTCGGAGGCTGGTATGACATGTTTCCTGTGCTAAGGAAAATACAACACGGAATGGGCAGGCTAAGCGTTTTGACTTAAATGATAAATAGTTCGGTTGTTCCATGAAATTAGTGTATGTAGAATAGTATGTATGAGGTAAGGTATACGCAGTGACTGACGGTTGCGGCGGCGGCGGGTGCGCGGGCGGGGGCTGGGCGCGCGCGCCCGCCTCGGGCTGCTGCGGCCGCCGCACGTCGCGCACGTACGCGTTGAAGTACGACACCTCGCGCCGCACCTCCTCCACCTTGCAAATTCAAAAATATATTTAATAGGCCACAAAATTACAGGTCATTGACAAGGCGACATATTGATTACACGTTTCAATATGCAAGATTATTTTCAAAAAATAAGTAATCTCCAAATAGTAAACGAAATAAAATTCAGAAAGTCCTGTTGAAGTCTTCGAAGACAATAAATTTTAATATCAAGAAAGTCAACACAAGTTGCATTGGACCTGTGCTAATTACAAGCAACACACTGTAACCTGCCTGAATATGAGCTTAACAATGAGGTATGTGTTTATTTTACATCACAATCAGCTGAAATAAAGAGGTGATGTTTAACCTCTCGTCTGCCGGTATATGAGACACAATAGAAAACACATTGTGTCTCGCGTAGATCTGCGCTCCGGAACATCACGGATTAATGATCTAAGAACCAATACAACTAACAGAGGATTGGATAGGTAAAACAATCAGAAATACATGATATCTCAAAAGTTTGCTGATATAAGATTACACTGCTGCTACATAACATTCATTCAAAGTCGAAGTCAAAATCATTTATTTCAATTAGACCCATACAGGCACTTTTGAATGTCAAAATCATTAATCTTAAAAACTTCTAACTAATTTGTAGTTACAATATATTTTTTGTATCATTTATTGAGTTAGTATTTTACCTTTTCACCATGTTTGTTGAAAATATGTTTTCTAATGAAATCAGGTCCTTTGAACTTTTTGCCACTGAGAGGACATAACCATTTGTCTTTCGCCAACTCTTGTGTATTGGCAAGAATGAACTTTTCTACTTCAGCATCCGTATCCTGTTGGAACAAAAAGCATAAATAAAAAACTGTCAAATGCCTTATATACATTAATAGAAAAGATGTAAATATTGAGTTCCTTTACCTTGATTCCAAGTTTCTGTAACTCTTCGTCTGATAATGGTTTAACGTCTTGTAAGAATGCAGACATTTTGCCTTCAAATGTCTTCACATAGTCTTGTATCTCTTGTTGAGTTGGCTGCAATAAACATTTTAGAATTGTTTTACTACTATTACTAACACATTATAATTATAACAATATATAAATTGTATGTAGTACTCATGCTATTATACGCATACCTTATTGGCAGGTGGACCAGACCTCGCATGCATAATACCGCAGCGGTTTGGCATTTCATCTTCGTAAGGATATTCGCAATGATTGTAATAATCCACGGAGTGTACGATACGTAAGTAAAGTACAAGGCGATCTAGAACTCGAACGAGCTCTGGGTCAGGTTGTTCGGAAACCGCAGATTCTGATGACGCTTCGAGACCTAGTAATTCTTCTTCTTCCGTTGAAGCTTCTTCTATTAAATGCTCCGTTATTTTATGAAGAACTGGGTTCTTTGAATTTAAGCTGAAGGTCTGAGGAAAATCATAAATATCATTTACATGTCAGAAAGGAAATCTGAGTACGCACATTATTTCTCCACCTACCTCATTACGGTTTGCCTGGTCATCGGTAGTCTGTTCGTCTGAACTTTCTTGCCACAGTTTGGTGCGCGTATCTAACAAATGTGCGAGTCGCGCTGCAAGTCTGGCATCAGCGCGTAGCACTGGCCGCTCTAAGGTGATGCCAGAAACTGGACGAATTCGACGTTGCAGATCACGGTTGACAATAGCACCCAATTCACATTCGCGAAGCTGTAAACATGATAGGTTCATATTAAACAACAGTTTTTAATAAGTTCCTATAAGATTATTATCTATTTTCTGTTTTCATAACTTACTCTGATATTGTTAAGATTCCAGCAGATATCTTTGATATTGACATCGCGGCGGAAGGTGACCCATCCTCGACGGAACCAGCGTCGCTCCGGCAATGGATCAGCCAGAGCCACACGTAGAAAGCCGCCGTAACGTTTGCACATCTATAACATATTTTAGTTGCATTACATACTTATTTAATTTTGTATGTTCATAAAAATAATTTATTTGGTTCAATAGCTCAAATCTACTAAAATATTCTATTTATGTGATAACAAAATTATTCTGATCAGAACAGATAACCAAATAGATCTGTAAATGTCATCATTCTAACAATTTAAAACAAGACTTTGGGAAGACCAACTACACACACAGGTTCCTATGACATAGAATTTGTTTAACAATAAATTAATGATTATACATACAGCTTCAACTTCAGCCTTCGTGATTGTGGGAGCCAAATTCCGTAAGAATATGGAAGTCGTTTTATGTAGAGCGCGACTCTCTTTTTTCTCCATAACGACGTCACTGACTGACTCAGCTCTCTCATCTCCACTTTTTTCTTTATCTTTGTCATTTTCCGTGGTATTTGTGACCATTTTCTCTACACTAGGAGATTTGGATTTGGCTTTTTCCTGATGTTTGGGAGACTTATCAGGAGTTTTCGACTTAGATTTCGACTTCCGACGAGTGGTAGTTTCGCCTTCATCTTCTGAACTGGATGACGATGAACTAGATGAAGAAGAACTCGAGGATGATCCTGGTGGTGCTGTAGACAGAGTAAAAAGTTGTAGTAAAACCAGTAGTTACGTATTCCGTTCTAGGACGGACAAAATAGTAAGTTATGAATAACCCCTAACTGAATTGGTTTCAAATGCGTATATACATATTATATCTATACTAATATTATAAAGAAAGGTAAAATTTGTAAGTTTGTATGTAGAAGGTAATCTTTGGAACCGCTGGTCGGATTGCCAAAATTCTTTCACTGATAGATAGCTACAATGTTCCTGAGTGCTATAGGCTATAAAACATCACGCTACGATTAAATGGAGCCGAGCAGCGGGTGAAACCGCGAGAGAGTACCTAGTATTATAATAAAGTGTCAAATAACAAATAATGCAAGTATAGTGCGAATGGACACTTACGAGGTTCCTTCTCCTTTTCCTTAACTTCTTCCTGCTCAGGTTCAGTTCCTGTAGAGTTGAAGCGAGAGAACAATTTCGCCTGCTCCTGTAGTTGACGTAAATGGGGATCAATCTCCATGGTCAATGGCGCTGTCGGTTTCGGTGACTCGGGCGCTTTTTTCTCTTCTTTCTGTTTATAACGTCAAATATCGTATATCCTACTTGATATCATATCAATGATTGTTAGTTTGATAGAATGCGGATGGTTGTTATATGTTCACGCAAAAGCTTCTGAAGAGATAGTGTTCAGATTTATCGACATTCGCCCATAGAATTATTTATTAACGCCAGTAACCATAGAATTAAGAATGAAACATTAAGTAATAATTTATTATGTTCAAGCCGCTTGTAAGTTGTGTAGCGAAAAGCTGATTTAATAGATGAAAGATTAGTGTTAGGTTTTGATTAGATTAGAATTTGTACAAACCTTGTCTTCTTCCTTCTCCTCTTTAACCTTCACATCATCAACGTCTATAACAACTGGTTTGTCAGAATCATTTTTATCTAGAAAAATAATAGATTTTTTATTATTTTTGAGCACTTCTTTAAGATGTGTTTGTATATTTGTTGCGGCAATTTTACCTGCTTTATCATTTGAAGCAGAATTTTCCTGTGGTGGAGGTTCATCCAGTTCTTTTAAATCTTCTTCAGTGCCACCTTCTAGCTTGATGACCACTGTGTCCAGAAGTCTGATCAATTTGTCAGACTTGTCAATGTCTACTGACACTTTATCCAGTTCCCCTTTCTCCAATAACTCAAGAAACACATTGAGTCGATTCTGGAATATTTTGAGTTAGACAACTTATTATTTAGCACTATTTATTTGTATGAAGAATTGAATAAATTGCTAATTGAAATTTACCTTTAATGCTCCTAGTTGCTCTTCTTTGCGTTTTACGGATTCTTCAGGGTGATATTTGATCTTGAACCTATTAAAAAAAATATTTACATGAGTTTAAAATTAATTCAAAAATCATCCATAACACTAAAAAAAAAAAACAAATAAATAGACCGATTGAAATTGATACAATAATTTGAACACTGCTTACAGCAAATAAAAAATCTACTTTTTAAATGCATTTGTGTTGAAAACTAAAACATAATTATGAAATAAATTATAAGTAAAAAAAAACACAAAGTGAGAAAAACAAATCCAACGAAAAACAAACAATATCAGCCCATATACATAAGAATTCGATAATTGGGATGCATTTAAAAAAATCGTTAAAAATCGGTCTCTCTGTAAACTACATACATAAAGAAATAAACAACCTTTTGTAACAAATCCAGGCTGGTTGAACTTCATGTCACAGAAAACTAAAATTGCTTAGTATACATATATTTAAAAAATCGCATAATCTCACCTGTTCCACACATGTGGAATAAATTACCCTACCCCTAACAGAAACGAAACCTGTAGCATTGCGCGCTACTGGTCAACGCGAAATATACTAGCTACACACAGCATTTAATCATTTGCATAAAGTTTGATTAAATTTTCTTAATGATGTCCAGCAATCCACGCGAATACACTGTAGACTGTAGGAAAAAAGGTAATTGTTAACATTTGCATAGCATCGTTGAAAAATTCTAAGCATAACTGGGATCTACTTTTTACCTAGGTCATGTTTTTTTCATTACACATGTAAAATGTATGCTCAGAATTTCTCGATAACCAGCAAATTATACAAAGAGCAAGTCATTGATTCTTTAAGTTACAGATGGTACACTAAAGCCCCATTTTAATTTAATCATGCAAAATATTTGATTTCCCCAAAACTTTAAGTAGCTTCTAGAAAAGTATATTAAATAAAATTTATTTTCATACCATTCCTCATCTTTATGAGCAACAAAAAACTCATTTAGTTGTTGTCTCCTGAACTCAAGCTTGTATTCATTGTACTTCTGGATAGCATCGTCAACTGTTATGGAATCATCTTGAGCTGCAAGAAATGCCTTAAAAGACATCATTGTGGGAGGGCCATCTGTTGCTCCTAGTGGCATGACTGCATCCCTAAAACCAATTTGTATGTCCATATTAAAATTAGAAATGTGACAAAACTTTACAAGAGAATTAATTCATAAGCTGCATCTCACCTGGCTGGAACAGGTGCCATAGGTTGTCCATAACCCTGATGGGCCAGATGAGGGCCAAAATGATCATGAGGCCAGCCATAGCCATATGAGTCATGTGGCATGCCCCCATATCTTCTATCATCTATAGGCCAATCAGGTCTTATCCGTTTGGTAGGTGGGCCTTCTCCTCTGACTGGCGAGTATCCTCTGCTGGCACTGGCTCCTCCACGGTAGTCCCTGTAGTCAGGACCAGAGCGACCTCCACGAGATCTTCGAGGCAAATAATATATTTTATAACTTGTTTAAATAACTTATATTACATACATTAGTATTATTGTATTGTTTTTTTATTAAATTCTAGAAAGTTCTATAATAATAAAAGATAGAATCAAAGTGCAGTCTAAAGATTATTTCTACTTCTATATGGTATAGATGTAATATGGGTCACAATAATCTTTGCCAACAAACAAAATTTATTTGAGAGTAGGTTTAAAGGCAAATTGAAATTATTTATATATTCAATTGTTATATAATAAAGATGGTCCTCATTGTAATTAAATGCTTTATTTTTATGTAGCCAATAATCTGGATGTAATTTTACCTTATAATAATAGCAACAGAGCGTTTTGTAGGTTTAGGAACTTGGACGGGAATTTTTGGAGGTTCAAAGGATTGAGGTTGGGATCTGGAAGCAATTTCAATAATATGAAATTATAGGATGATCAATTAAGCGATATGTCTCATTTAACATATAATTACCTCTCAGACCAGTCTTCGCGGCCACGGCTCCTTTCTTCGCGTCGGTCACTACTTCGATAACTGCTACCTTCAGCGGTGCCGCGTTCACCACGGAATTTATCACGCCTCTTGCGATCGTACTCATCATCGCTGTCAGCCATTATTACTAATTAGAATACTAAATTGATCCTTATTTGCAAAATCTTCTGACTCAGTTATTGCTTACAATCAAATAGAAAGCAAAGATACGATCAGTCAGCGTAATGCAATGAAAGCCGTCCATAGACTAAACAGGTAATGACAGATAGTAGTCGGTATCATAGACTACAGACGTACTACGACGACTACGTATAGTGAATATTTGGAGGGTTGGAAACAAAAATGACATTACACAACGTATAATTCATCGATTATTCATACGTTTGCGACTATTTCCTACAAATAATTAGTCTCAGAAATTTTGACGGCACTGGTTTATCCTCGAGGAACTTTATGATACTTTTTGGGTGTGGATCTCAGTAGTGAATGGTAAAATGTCCTAGTGAAAAGTAGTACAATAATAATATCTAAAATGTTTGTAATAAAATTGACAAAAGAGTCGAATTGAAAATGTTTTTACTTTATGTGCATCTGGCAAGTCCTTTGGGCGGCAAATTAGCAAGCCTCGTAACTAGTCTGTGGCAACAACTGTTAGGTGTACTATTATTGTATGTTATCTTGATCATAGGAATGATAAAAAAGTAATAAGTGTCTGTGTCTGTTTAAATTATAATAATTAGAAATTAAAAGCTGATAAATATCTGTGGTCTACCTTCTAGCTGAATATTCTACCAATATATTTATTTCATATACCAACCATTGCATTGATTATGCTGTAATGTACGGTAAAAAATAAGACAAACTCCGCGTATTTTTATTATAACTTTCGTGAAACAATCTAAATTAATTATTATGTTTGCGGCGTATTCACGTAATTGTTTAACGAGATAGGTACTCGACTAGTTTCATGATCAGCATTCCGCGATACGCGACGCGGCGACTGTCGCGCTGCTACTTAGCATATGGGTATGGGCCTCTAGCATGGCTTGAAACTAGTCGAGTATCTCGTCAAACAATTACGTGAGTAAGTCGCAAACATAATAATTAAACTCTGCGTAGGTACTAAATTTACCTAAGAATGATTAAGAATCACTCACCTAATCACCTAAGCCAAAGTAAGAATGTAAATGTAGTTACCTATGTGGGATACTTACCTAAAAAGCTTTTGAGTTGAACAACTATACCTTTATAATTAACAACAAAAACTAAATACTAAAAGGACTATACCTCGAGCCAAGCTGGGCAAGCTACCCTTGCTCTCTGTTTGCAGAGATTGGGATGTTCATTACTTCACAGAAAGAGGAGACGGAAACACTACATTATATCCCAGTTCAAAACTAGACGAACGACTCCACTAAGGCCGCACGCGGTATGTCGCCGCCGCCGATTACTTCGCTGAGGACGTGGTGGTACACACCGCCACCGTGCTGCTGCTGTGTGCTCCACCGCGTCCTCCGGGTTTTCTTCCGCAGAATCCAAATGCTGGATCGAGAGGTACCTTTTCTGTCATGACTGCTCATTTGATGATTTTCCCCGAACAAAAAAGCAGGGAGCAGTCCTCAGGGTCAGGCAAGAGAGTGTCAGACTCTTAACTGACTAACACATTGCACTTGCGGAAGGTCAAAACGCAAGGCGACTCTCTAGCCACTCCTCAAGCAGGTGCTACCGCTGCTATAGGTAATCACTAACTAACTATTAGCTAAGCCTTGATGTTGTCGCGGAAGCTAAGAGCTGAGAGTTTAAGTCGCATGCATCTCATACGTCAGGGTGCGGGTTTGGAATCTGGCAAGAAGGTACTTATGTGTCATCTCACACTTTCTAATTTCAAATTTGTAATCATGATGTATAATCCGCTTTGCGCGTAGTGATAAATGCTCATCCCTTCTTTACGTGAGAAAAGGCCCTTGCTGAACCGTAATGTTTAAGAACCAAAATTGATTAGATTGGTGCCTAAATGACCCAAACCGATTAAACAAAACGATTGATTTTTTATATTAATTTTGTTGTATTATAAATCGAAATAAAGTGGTACTTACCTATTTAAAGTCCTTAGTGTCCACCCTTAATAACGCAATATTCAGGAAACTCCGGGAGTTAAATAAAAATATAGTTTTTTACGAAAATTCATTTATTTAAAAATCCTCATTTACCTAGCAAATAAATTGTATGTATCTGAAATATCTACGTTAATACTACCTAAGTAATTCAACTAAGTTAATGTTTTTTATTATGTCGGACAATGTATTTCATCAGTGAGGTCTCCACAATTGTCCGTACCATCGCATTGAACGGCGCGCGGTACGCAGCGGTGATTCTTACAACGAATTTCATGAGCACCACAATTGCCGCCACATCCATCAGGTTCATCACTACTGTCAGCGCAATCAGCTAGTCCATCACAAAATCTTGAACTTGAAATGCACTGACCATCAGTACAAGTAAACTGGTCTGCAGGGCATTCTGTTAAGTGAAGAAAAGCTTTCGTAAACGAGAGAGAACCTTCTGTTTCAGTGGCTATTAAGCATTTTTTTATCGAATATTATGGTATACTTAATGCCTAGGTATAATAGTAGGTAACTACGTATTTTTATCAGTTACAAATCTTACCAGTTGTGCAGTTCACTTCATCGTACCCATCCCAGCAATCAATAACTCCGTCGCATAATTTTGTATGTGAGAAACAAGATATTGAGTGACCGCAGCGAAACTGTTTTGTCAGATCACATTCTGTTGAGGTAAGTTAGTATTGTAAATCTTTATACCTTATTTAGATGCGTATATTGAATAGACAAAACAATGCAATATGTAATACCGTCTTACCGCAGTACGTTTCATCAGATCGGTCATAGCATTGTATAGAACCATCACACCGAGCTTCCGCTGGTACGCAGAGCCCATTGCGACATCGCCATTCATCTGGTGAACACGTCACTAGCGTCAACAAGCGGCACACGCGCACTCCTCGCACTTTATCTACTAGTTGACAAGCTTCTGTCTCAAGGGCGCACAACCCTCCGCAACCTGTAAAATGTTTAAATAAACTTGTTAGAAACATTAGCATAATAATTTTATTATGAATTCCTAATTGACTTTCTTATTAACCACATATTTTCGACATTATTAGAAAATATTGAATTATTATAATGTTGCGAATCGTTTATAATTATTAGGAGGAAGAGTTAATGAAATCGCAGCATAAAAATCGCTAATTAATTACATAGCTACTTGAAAAGAGTATTGATATTACTAGACTTTTTTAAAGGATGCTCTACAATAATTCTGAATGCATATACAATGTTCATACTAGTAAACTAAACATTAGCTTAAATCTTTGTTAGCTAGCATCTTTTAGCAAGTGAGTCCATTACAAACCTGTCGGGTCATCGTTATCAATTGACTTTCTACAGACGGAAGTGCCACTATTTTCATCCAACATGCAGATTTCATTTTTTTGGCACGAGCAAAATCTTTGGGATAGGTCTCGATTATTGACTTCTTTAGGCCTTTCATTTTCGTTGGTTTTACTTGTAAATTTTGGATATGTTTTAATATTTTTACGAATTTTTGATATTACACTAATTAATGAAGAATTCTCCGTGCTAAAACTATTTGCTGGCTGAGTAGAACTAATATAGTCTTCTTTACTTGAATTATCTGACTCTGATGGCAGCTTCATATCAACAATAGTGTTAGTCGAAGCTGTCGCATTGATATCTCTATTTTTTGTTGGCACTACGGTTGTACTAATCTTGTTGGTCATACCTTTTAAATTAGGATTAGTAAAATTGACCAAAATAAAACTTATAATTACAATAGCTACAATCATCACACTTATTGAGCAGGCTTGTATTTGAGTTCTCTTTTTTACAGGACTATCAGTTGAAGCAAAATTAACTATACACCCAAATCCTCGTAGCCTTTTTCTCAGTCTATGTCGATTTGCGTCAGTAGAAGCCATTTCATAGGAAGTAAACTTTTGCCTAAAGCTGGAATCAATATGTTGAGAAATGGAAGGAATGCGTAGTTTATTTTCCACATTTGTGTGGCCTGACTCTCTGTCTCTTGAAATGTTATTGTTGTACGAACAAACTGGTTGGCTTAAGTTTGTTTCATCTTGTCGCTCGTTTACAAACGTTTCATCTTTTTCTATTGTTATGTCTTTGTTAGGAGTGGAATGATTATGAGGCGTGAAGTTTCTTGGTGATTTCAATTCATATTTTCTTATTTTGCCTTTACATGTGTAACAGTATGTTATAACATTTCTATCCTTAGCCGGTGTGGAAATAATTGCAGTACGTAAGTTGCTATTCTTCCAAAGATGAGAACAATATAGCGAGTCCAAGTTGATCGATCTTTCGATGTTATCAGTTGTTATGGAGTCATCGAAAATCCCCGTTAAAGTCATTATGCCTTATTAAGGGTTTGTTTGTCATACCTTTTATAGGAAAAGGCATTATTTGAAAGCTGAAACAGAAAAAAATGTTTAAGTAAAAATAAAAGTCTCTGAAATGATAATCGTCTACCAAGACCTACAACATTTAAAACAGGCTTACGAATATTTATGATTTAATAGATCATGCAAAGTGGCGTGCGAAAAAGCGTTAGAGATATCGTTTGAAGAAAATATTTTTTTCCTTTTCATTTTAAGACATCACTAAAACTTTTACCTTTTACCGTTACATTTGTTTAGCAGCCTAATTGTACTCAAATATTATTAACATAATTTATTTACCTATATTGCTTTAATGATCAGCTTATTCTAAATTACTGCGAAGAAGACTTAACTAGTTAATAAGGGGTGTTTTAAATAGGGTCCGTTAAAATTTGATCGTACTAAGGTAACTGTATACCAGGTAATTAAGCGTGTAAATGATATTCATTACATTGTATTTAATTTACAGGGTTTCATCGACTAAGTATTTTAACAACAATTTCCATGGCTAAAATGCTGTCATTTGCTTAAAATCACTTTTGAAGTACGAAGTCATTATTAAAAAAATGGCGATATTAAAAAAATAAAATTGATTAGTATGGCATAGATAAGTGATCAGTACACCTCAATAGATTATATTCATAATTTATAGATATTATAATCAATACTAGCTAAGTTTTACACGTATTACACCTTCTATTTGTTGTAGCATGTACCTATATTAGCCTCCTATAGCCTAGCTTTCCTCGAAAAATGGACAATCCAATACAGAAGGAATTGTTCAAATCGGACTACTTAGTACTTTCGGAGATTAGCGCGTTCAAACAAACACAAGCAAGTAAGCTTTAACTTAATTTCAGCTTTATAATATCTATTGAGTAAATTTTGAATAAATTAATATATTATTATTTTTATTCGTAAGTAAATACTACTGTAATTACTCAAATATATAGTAGTTGAGTATTGTTTAATATATATATTGTTTAATAGTTACATTCGAATATTTCAGGTGATGTGCGCAAGCCGTTCATTCTAATTATTTTGTTAGTCACACGACAGTTCTTATTATTATGTGAAATGAACTACATAGATATTGGATTTAAAAAGTGAATTGCACTTTGTTATTTTAATATTGACTTGAAAGCCCCAATGAGACCTCAGATTGCCTCAATGTACAGCGACGCTGGCTACTCGTAAAGAACTGAACAGAAGTCACTTAATAATTCAATTAAAGTAACTCAGGATATACAGCTGATTTTACCCTATCCACATCATTTAGAAATGGTTAATTATGCTTTCGAAGTTTCCCCAACTTGCAGATTGATTAAAAATAATTACTCGTATTATAGCATTTTCTATGTACTTAAAATATTTTATGTACTAGCATTACTTAAAGATAGATAACAGACTTAAATGGTTTTTTTTCAAGGCATCTCTGTTATATTTATTTGAATCTTAGCTGGGCACTGATTGATGTTACATAACTAACAAATATATTACGCGTATGTCTATTGACAATTAATGTATTTCCAAAGTGCCAAATACACGCGTGTTTTTGTTGTACTGATTGAATATCAAGTCACCAAGCGATATTTAGTAGGTTTTTTAATACTTTTTCATAGGTGAATGGATATTTCAGTAAAATATATACTGCAAAGTCCATACACCGATTAAAATCTTGAACCACTTTTTGACATATAATAGGTATCTATACTTAAATCATATTTTAGCAATGCAATAAAACATTTGATCGCGTTTTAAAATAAAATGAAAGAACAATATTTAAAAATAACGTATCGAAACAGATTTTGAAAATAGATGCGTGCTTCAATTATTATCACTATTTACCTACATCCACGTATAAAATACTTAATCTTAATTTTATATTTATTTTCTTTGACAATTAAAGTATTTATAGTAGTAAGTATAGTATAACGTTAGTTGATATATTACCTAATATTCGAAGCTAAGTAATTTGTGACTAATTCTTAACTTAATTGAGCTTAATTTTTAACACATTTTGTTTTGTTCTGCATCAATCCTACCTAAATTATGTTCTTATAATAAATATAACGCCAATCGTAGGTCAAGAACAATTTCTAGGTCAAACTAGTGTTTCAATACCATTCACAGTTCACTTCATTTCTTCGTCTGTTACACCCAGCTGTTACTTTGTAAACATTTAAAGATTTTATTAATATAAAACGTAAACTAAGACTTACTTGAAGTAATGTTGATGCAGGTCATGTTGTTATAAAACACTATTAAACATTAAAATATAAACTTAATATATTGTCAAGTGGAAGTTATTGAACACGTCAGGTCGCTATGCAGCCGCGTGCCGTGTATCGGACTACCGTTGCCGGTGACAACGTCTAACAACCTTACACCAACACCAGCACCCCGTACATCGTACCAGTGTGCGAAAGGGATTAATAATACAACTGCAAGGCCGGTAGAGAGGGATGAAATAATAGGGTTGATGTCGAATGGTATACCAGCGGCCAAGGTCCGTGCTCGTTCAAGAGTGACACGTGCTACGTGCAACTGAACGAACATCTGTTCTCGACATTAATTTAACGGTAGAGGAAACACTGGTTGTTATAGGTATTCTCGTAGTATGAGGCTATATTGCTATGTTATATGTCGTGAAATTTGGAAAACAATTTTTTTTTATATCCATTAAGTATCTAATAAAGTTCTCTTAACATTAGCTAGCTAGCTACTTTCTTCTGAAATTTATACATTCTACATTTTTACTCCATTTTCCAAATCTAAACCTAAATAGTACTAGGTTAAGGGCTTTCACTATATTCGTAACTTTTCATGAAGATGTATATCGTTGCCTTAAGACCTTAGAACAGATAGGTACTATGAACTAATAGGTCTTTACCCAATATTAAGAGGATGTAAAAGTTAAAAATTAACTAACGTGAAGTAACCCATGATTTACTTATTACCTATCTAAAACTTAGTATTGACCCAAACATTTTTCATGTTATTCAAATATTGGAATGAATAAATCAAAATGATTAGCATGAAAGTTTTATACGCCAATCGTTTGATGAGTGCTAAAATATTTACATTTAGTTAGTTGTATTTGTATACCGCGCTTGTTCCGTGACTAAATGTAGTCGCTAGTAGCTCGACCGCAAAGTGAACCCAGTAGCGCGGTGCTGACGGGACACGGGTGCATGTGCAGCATCTCGCGGATGCAGCCGCGGCCTTCGACGCTCGTCGTGGTGCCTGCGACACGCAACTGGAGGAAGGCACAACTCTCACTGCGCGCGCCGCGTGCGGTTGTGGTCACTCGCCCACCTCCTCGCTTCGTTCGCTCGGACGTGTTGCGGCTCCGACAAGAAACTCAGTGTTCTGTCACACAGCTATCCGTATGCGCGTTATACCGTACGTCGCGCAGTTTCTCTCGAAAATTAATTAGTATGTGAATGCGACGTTTTTATTTGTTCAACACGAAAACGAGTGAAATGTTGTTCGCTCACTGATCAGCACGCATTTGCTTCGCTTTTGGACAGACTTCATGTGAGGGGCTGACCACTACTTATTTTTCAATTACGGTGAGTTTGATACAAAACACGTCTTTGCCAATTTATTTACGTGCCAAGATTAGAGAAACTTTCACACTGGTAAAAAAAGTAGGAACAATGTCTGTACTTTTAGACAAGCCTTTGTTTATAAAGAATAAATAAGTATTATATGCTCTAAATTGTTAAGTAATTTAAAAACACAAGAACACCTTGTGTAGGTCAGAAAGTCAGATGTGCTACTTCCCACCAAAACGACGTCGAGTTACCAAGAGGCGGACTGTTATTTTGTTCGCTTATTGGTTACGATTTTTGCTACTGATCTGATTTACTTGTGTAGGTACCATTAGTAGAGTTCTAAGGTTTTGCGTTGTTTTTTTTTTCAAATGTGCCGATTATTTTTTATTTATAAAACACATAATGTCAACAATTGTTTTAAATTGCTTCCTCGTTTAAGTTCGATAAACTGTGTAGGTTCATTATTGTAATAGTACTAAATAAATATTTTTTTCCTTATGATTGGTTCTACAGTAAATAATATGTTATAATATAGTCATCATGCATAAATTTTAATATGGTCACATTGTAATAATTCAATGATAAAGAACATATTATATCAAAGCACAATTAGTTATTTGTTCTCTTTGTAAGTTTAATACTTACATGTAGGTTACTAGCCGTTGTAACATAAAATAATGTCGTCCTCGTGGTTTTATTTGGAACAGGAAGTTAGGGACTAATGACGTGATAAAACGAGTACTTATTTTTATTTGCCCTAATTGTTACATTGAGTTTTAAATAAGAAATTGTATTTATTTATTTATCAATATTATTTGCACCTAATTATATCCTAACTTTGCAAATGTTGATGCTGTGGTGAATCCAGTTATGTAGCACTGTTTGTGATCGCTTACAGTGTGACTTTCTCGAGTAAACAGTCACTTTACATCAGCCTTATGCAAGCGTAAAAGTCAGTAAGATTAATAGACAGACAGAAACATGCTTTACTTGGAAATAAATAACAGTTTTGGAACTTAGATCGTTAACAATTATATGTAACTGGAAATACTATTTTTTCTGAGCACTATTTTTTTTATTATTTACCATTTTTCTCAATTGTTTTTATTAATTTCGAATACACGATGAGATTAAAAGTAATTTAGTAAATAGTGTTGAATACCCCTTTTTAATTATACAACCTCCTTTAACATTTTGGCGAATCATGCCATCGAAATCAAGCTGTGATTGCAACTGACTTTCTTTCTGGCCAGCCAAAGGAGGTTAACGGCGATTCTCAGTGTGTGCAGAATTAATAAGTGTTATGGAACGTATTGCTCGTCCCCCAGTAGAATATAAATAGCCGTATCAATTTCAATATGTGTTATTTTTATTGTTATTCACTTGTGTAAGTAAACACTGACCGAACTGTCTGATATCGAAACATTCACTGTGCCGGATATGACTCCTACCAAGTACCTACTTACTTGCTTTGAAAAACAACAACTTTCCTGTTACTGCGATAAATTTTACTTTAAACAATTTAAAAGAGGCCCAATAAAGGAATCGTTAAAATTAAAGGACCTTATCAAATGGTTCGACTATATGTAGAATTCTAGCTAAGTGAGAGAGCGAAAAACGTTCTATAACTGCCGTTATTAGAAATGTAGACAAGTTTCCTACCTGCGAACTAAGAAGCCCTCCGAATGAACCGTCTACGTCTATGTTATAAATACAGAAGCGGCTTAAGCCTGATTTATTTTTAGAACATCTACCTACTATTATCCGTTAAAGTACGTAGTCTATTCATGAAAAAGGTTTTTTTCGCAAAAAGCAATATTGCCTGATATTCATGTTCACACTCTCAATCATCATCGTCTTCATCATCATCAGCCTGATGTCGTCTAATGCTTGACATAGGCGTCCCCAATTGCACGTTACTGAGCTCGATGTTCAGCTTTTCTCATTCAACCACTGCCAGCCTTCCTGCGGATGTCGTCAGTCCACCTAGCTGGAGGGCGTCTACACTACTTTGTTACATGCCCTCAATCCCCCAAGCGATATTCTTTTTTACTTCAATAATGTTTAGGTACTATTGCTGAGAGCTATGCAGATACTTGTTAAGAAATTTCCTTTGACGGGTGCTAATTCAATGCTAGGGATGGAAGCTTGTGTGAAAAAGATGTCACAAAACCACTGTTTACTCCTTGCGTAATAAGTACATGGTCAGCAAGCTCGCGTTGGGTCATGCTTTAATAAGACACTTGTATTCATTGAGTGATGGCAGCGCGAAATTGTGTTAACGATCCAGTATCTACACAAGATTTAGCAGTCGCTGGCAACGTTTTTTTTTTTGTTACCGAAGCACTCTTTACTAGTGTTTTATCAAAAGGTTAACCGTTTGATTCGTCGACAGGTCGAGATTGTCTGAAGAAGGCGTTAGGTGTTGTTGATTATCGATTTTAAAAATAATGACCACCCATTGACTTGTATCTACTTATATTACCTACTGCGTATCAATGCGTATCATTTTGTAATCATTGTGGCATCATATCACCACCCATGTAATTCATAGCGAAAATCGATTGTTCATCTTAGGGGTTATACATGCATATACAGAATAATGATGTATGGGCGATGATGATGTTGATTGTTTATTTTTTAATCAACGCATGTAGTGCTACTTTAGATACCATTGCAAAACACGAACAACGAACTCTACCACTAAATGCGTGCGACTCCCCGTCCTTGATTAAAAACAAAGAACGTTATCAAACAAAGCAATGATGGTCTCACACAAGTTCGAACTAATTTATAAAATAATTATATATCTAATCAGCTTTGTAGGTGACCTATATAATTCTCACAATCTTGTATCGTCTGATATTCTCTAAGAGAATGAATTCCTTATACTGATTGCGTATTGCTGTAGGAGCTCTGTCGCAGTTAATAGGTCTTCAGTTCTTATAAAAACAAGTCATTACTAAGTACCTAATACATACTAGGTATGTACCTACTGTACGTCTGTACCGTAATTATAGTTGTTTAATGGATTAATGGTCTAGGTAGTGCTTCGTGTTAATGGAACGTAAAAACGATTATTGTAACATTGCTACCGACTGGCTACTATTGTCCTTTGCTTGTTCTTGATGTATAATTTTTAATCTAACTCGTCTAACTTATTTATAACAAGCACATTATATGTAATTTGTAAATTAAGGGGTTTATGGATCATAGGGTAATTTCGCAAGTTACTTATCTACCTATATTATTATATCTGATTAACTTTCTGGTAATTTAATTGCCACGTGCTTTGACACATTTCAGTTTCTTATGAGTATTTTCCATCTAGCATTTTGACCATTATTTTGCAAGATCAACAAAAAGTTCAGAGAAGTCATAAGAATATTCAAAAAAGATTTCGCATGTGGTAACCTACTGAACTTTATAATATGTTTCGTAATAACTGCTTAACAGAAATCCGCTGCGTAAATCTGTTTGTCTTTACCAAACAAATCACCGGAAAATTCTAGCAAATATTTCAAGTTCATTGTTACTGTATTAATTTTGTTTTAATTTAATGTAAAAAAAATCGACGCGTGGTATTTTTATGGTGTTTCAATTCAGTAGCTCCAATGGTGTCCTTTTATGTAAAACTATTAAATATCAAGGAATTGGAACTAAACTACAACACTAACTACTAAACTAGAATTGTCTAAAAATATGACAGACCCTACGAAGATACATTATCTACCATTATCCTTAATCGTACGATTGAGAAACCAAATAAAAGATAGCAGCTTTACACTTATAGCCGGTATATTGCAATAACTCAGAGAAATTTATGATAACATAATGCCTAATGTTTTAATTGAATAAAACCTATCATTAACAAATTATTTAATACTTAGATACTAATGAAGAATTTAACGCGTTAACTAATTTGCAATTAAGTAAATAGTAGCTATGTTTATAAACTTTAGTACCTAATAAATTATAACCGTTTTCATTCAACGTTAATATTTACGTAAGATTTACGGCTTTATCGTTATTGATTTATAAATATACAGTACAAACGCACCGTACAACCGGGTGATTATCTACTACTCAGGGTTACAAGTTCATGACTCTTTGGCATACCAGTAACACTTCGTTACTAAACATAGATAGTAAGAAAATCAAAACATGACAACTACTAGCAGCTTCCATCAATATCACAAACATAAAGTAACATAACACCATTCAGTACATTACTGTAAACAATGCACTAAGGTATGTAATTAGATGTAACATCATTTAACATACACAGATACTCTCTATAGGTACGAGGAATGTAGATACATAGGTATGTATATCAATCTTTGATAAGGAAACTAATATAACAATCGTCACGCCTCTAATCCAAAGGTAGAGTATATATAAAAGGATCGCAAAATATGTTGGTAAGCGCATAACTCAACAACGCCTGGACCTGTTGCTAATTCTTTTTGTGTTATCTTTGTTATTGTCAGGAGAAAGTTCTTATCAAAGAAAATATCAGAAAAGTAGAGGGGAAAATTGGAAAAATGTGACTCTTTGATAGCGAGATAGTTGGACCTGTGCGAAGCGGGGGCGGGCCGCTAGTATATACATATACTTATATAATTTATACGCATTATATTTAAATAATATACCACGCTATTTTATAAATGCCATAGAATATTAAATTGTATAGTACTTATCGCAGTATACATGTTACTGCGATACTATACTACCTATAGCTAAGCATTCGATTTTTTTTAATAATCCACGGATGTCGACATTTTCCTTGTGGTCTAATGAAATTAAGTAAGTAGGTACTATTTAAAATATGTTGTGCAGTTATTTGAATTCCTTTTTTGCCTTGTCAAAATAAAGCGAGTGACCGAAACTAACTAGGTACATATATGTTGCTAATTAGGTAGTCATCGTGACTAATAGGATATATCTAATTTTAAGAATTATAGAACGGTTGCAAACTCGACTGGTATCGGGGTGCAAAAGCTTCCACTATTAAGATTTCTTACCAAAATACAAAAAATAAGGTGAAATATTAGAAATAAATCATTATAAAAATAAGTCTTTTTACCGACTTCAAACAAAACGAGGTTCAATGAATTCCGTATACCTACTTATATGCGTTTAAGAATGACAAACATTAGGCAGGTAAATTGTGGTGACTAATTTGATGTTTTTAACGCCTGATGCATTGACTAATAACTTAAACAATACATGCTAGCAGGTACCTAACCTAACCTAACATTTCTTATTGAAAGCCAAGTGTTTCATACAATGCTTTCACATGTGCTCACGCGTAATTGGATGATAAAATGGCGAATAATAAAGTAACTATCAAATTACTTTCTGATTAATATTAAGTCATGTCACAAATAAAAACTGTGCTAACCAATGAAACTTATGGTAATTCAAAACGTATATCGTATGCAAAACACGTGAGCATCGTGCGACTAACATAGCATCAGGCGACGTGTAACACTAGCCTGGTTTCCAACGTCTACTGCGACCGTCTTCTGTCTGTTGTTCACGTAGGACAGCTCCTAAGGTTTAACTTTCCTAAGGTTTCGTTTACAACTTCATATTAATTAAACAATATCGACAAATTTAAAAAAAAACGTTAATATTACGCGTCTAATATCTACATGGTGCGTCAGCACCCCGATAAATGTCGTACAAATGAATAATTCGTTTTAGTGGGCCATGAAATATTAGATCAAAGAGTTACGGTATATATTTGACCTAGATATTATACAGACTACGTCAACTGTACTTGTTTTAGTAGTTAGATTCCTATTTTTATCGCTATTATGAATTCATGTAATCAGTATTCGGGGATTTAAATAACGGTTCATATAATTTTCTTGCTGAATTTTAAGTTTTAGCAAAAAAAACTTTTTTACTAGTATAAAAATCTAACTTGTTAATAAATAATATTAGATACATTCTTCAACGGTCAATGTTAATGAACTTTTGATAAATAGTTACTGACTAAATAATGTAAGTATTATATTAATAACTAGTTTTCGCCAGCGGCTTCGCCCGCGTGCTGTGTTGATAAAAAGCAGCAAATAGCAATAGAACAAAATCTAAGTATACAAAAAATTTGGTATTTATCGTCTCATTTTTATGGGTACATCTCCAATGGGTAAATACCCTATTACTTACTAAGTCTCCGCAGTCCGTCCGTCCATAGATAGAAAGGTACGGATCTAACTAATAGGTAAGAGTTACAAATATTTGATAAAACCTATATTATATTATATTTTATACCGCATCGTGTCGAGCACGGCAACCGCTACACAAAAATAATTCTTATACCATGATTCAGTGTTCACTTGCGACGGCGCTATGTCTTATTATACGAATTTCTAAGCTATCAGGAGTTACACGTGCTATTGTGAGTTAACCATAAAAGATAGACATATGCTGTAAAACATTTTTTTAGACAATTTTATTAAAAATATTTCCGTCATACATAATTTCTATGTAAGTTTAACCATAAGGTTACACACGCGACTGAAACTTACAAAAGGGAGTAACTTCTCCCGTTTTCCCAACATTTTCCTTCACTGCTCTGCTCCTATTATTTGTAGCGTGATGAAAAGTATCCTATAGCCTGCCCAGGAGTATAAAGAATAAATTGTACCAAGTTTTGTTAAAATCCGTCGAGTAGTTTTTGTTTCTATAAAGAACATACAGACAGACAGACAGACAGACAGACAGACAGACAAAATTTTTACTGATTGCATTTTTGGCATCAGTATCGATCACTAATCACCCCTGGTAGTTATTTTGAAAATATATTTAATGTACAGAATTGACCCCTCTACAGATTTATTATAAGTATAGATAAATCGCCTTTGTAGTTGCTGTAATTCATCAGAATGATAACTGATTTCATTATAAAAATATGTTCTAGCATCAAAGCTAAAATGAATCACAAAAGTCTTAAACAATGACACATAATATTCAGAACTAAAGACCTTACTAAAATACTATAGGCATCAATCAGTAGATACTGAATCCTCTCATCCTTAAGGCAAACAAGTAAAACCATGACTCGCGGCTAGTGTCTATTTTTTGTTTTGCTTTATGAAGGTCAATATATCAATTTTATTTCAATAAAACACAAACATTCAAATATATCTAACTTATTGGGGTCATGAAAATCTTATCATCAAAGTCTTACTTAAGAAGGTCGATAGATCGAAAACAATTATTGTTTTGGACGAGCAATAGACCTTATCTGTCTATTTGTAGCGTAAGACAGCGCCCGCGTAATCACACGGTTTGTCGGGTCTAATCGACGCAAGAGGTCAGTCTTTTTATCGGAATCGTCATACGACTGGCAGTGGGGTCAATTGTCGTCTGATTTTCACAAGTGCCTTATTAACGCAATCGTTTAATAACTTTATATATTGTTATTTCGTCTATATAAACGGTTACTATTGGGACAACATTTTTGGTTAAAAAATAAATATTAAAAAATTACAGTAACATCTTCACTGCATACGGGAGAACAGTGTTAAGCATAATCATTTACGCAAATAAATAAATAATTTACGTATTTGACAGCGCATAATTTAAGGTATGTATTTTTAATTGCTTATAGTAGAGTAGTTAATGTGGAATATGAGCATTAATGCGTAATTTATGATGTGTTTGTAATTAATCTAGCTATTTAATCTTTAATAGTTGAAAACAAAGGATATCTAGGTTATATTTTTTTGGGTACATGTTTTTTGTTGTATTGTTTTAGCGTTTATACCTTTGTTGTGATCGGTAATTAACAAATTTGCATTAACTACTCACCTGTAAGACAAAATTGAATGTATTTACCACTTAAAGAATTTCTGACAAGCTTTTCTTCATAGACACAGTAAGATATTAGAATTAATCAGATTGTTTAGATATGCGTACACGTTTTCCGGCGTCCAGGCCGGCTACTAACACTATTTATACTTCACTATAGATAGCTTGGGCAGCGCGACGCGGACACTGAATGGCAAATGAGAAAAATCTGAGCAATAACCACGTCGCGCCCTCAACCTCGACCATCAGACGCTCAACTCCACTTAATTTACATTTAATATGGCCTTTATTACGTTATATCTTAACTACCGTTTCACGTTGATGAATTTAAGAATGAAAGTAAACTCGTCATCTCTGCGAAGAGATGCGTGCCAAGAATTAAGAGAATTTTGCCAATGAAAGCAGTTTCGACCATTCGTTTTCCTTCGACGTTAATGTCCGAATCTGTCACTGTTTATATAAACATCAATTACGTTCCCACATACTCGTACATGGGTAATCGTAGATTTTATAGACATGTAAAACGATTGGACGGTCTTGAAATGAAAGCTAATTTCCATTTCCAGCGACAAGCACTAATATATAATACATAACTTACAATAGGTATTATATCTAATACGTGGGACGTGCTAACAAATATAATTGAAGTGCATTCCGATGAGAGCATGTGCTTACAATAGGTGAAAGTAAGTTCGATGAACCAAACGAAAGTTTTTACAAAGGGATTCTGGATGCCAGACGGGACCGCGCGTGTGAACGCTCTCCAGAAAGTAAAATGTGCAATTGTTCGTACGACAACAATGTTTGAGATTTTATTAGCTTCTTTGTTTTGTAATACCATCCAGAATAGGTAACGCAGGTACAAGTATTAGATTAATAAAAATATTCAAATCTAGAATAAAAACAGATGTCAATAAATTCTACATAATTATGTAAGTACCTGGGTACCTATACATATTAAAAAAAAAACAGTGAATACCTAACACTTCATATTCAGTTTAGATACATCCTAAAGTAAATTAGCACATTATTTACGCAAATGCGAATAAATACCAATTCTCTTTTGAGGTAATAGAAGTTAATATTCAGTAACGTTAATGCAGCACTGACTTTTTTGGCAAAACAAGAAAGGGGCTGTTGCAACCATGATGGCTGACGACAGTCGTGACTCGTGACACTGCTGCGCGTTTGCATCATTTATGAATGCATGAATTCGCGATAGTGTTCGGCGAAAGTGATTATGTATTTGACATTTGACAGTTTTTGCAAAACTAAACGTGTCCACACCGATCAGTGGGCGTTGGATTAGAAATACCTTTAAAATTAACATAGGTACCAACAAAATAAAAAACATGAAGAGATAAGTTAAAGTCAAAGTAAATAAAATGATGATTCATAAAAAATATGATTACAGTGGACGTAAACCACAAGATGTGAAGGAGCAATTTAGAGAAAGCTTATCGAGAAAGCTTGGCACTAGTCCAGAACACGAAAACCAAACTGTATAAAGAAGTCGCTACGTTCAAGTAATATCATAAAGCATGGCTCCATTGTGTTTTATATAATTTAATTTTATGATGCGGGATAGAATGTTGTTGCATAACACACCCGTGTGGAGAGAGTCCAGCCTCGTTATTACTTATTTCCTCAGGAACGAAATTAACTATAGAGGTACAATTGAGTTGAGTTAGTGCGTAGGTAAGTACTGACATCGAACCTTTTACCTTTTTTGTTTTATGCTAGTCCATTTTTATAGGTATCGTATAAGTATTTAATCATAGGCCTTTTATTTCAGTAGGTATTCATAGCCAGAATTTTATACTAAAACTGCTTAATTTATATAATTTTTGACGCTTTAGTGTGAGTTTGTAAGTTAACTTTGTAATGTTAGAAATTGTAATTGAAACATCCGACGTGTTTGCAGTTAGGTTTTAGATTTTTACGCAAAGGAACATTGAGTTTTCCGTCCGGTTATAAAATGGCACATATTATTTTTGTTCTTGATAAAATTATCAGGTAATATTTGGCGGGCTCCAGAATTTTGAATAATTTAATCATATGTTTCGAATTGAGATTATTTGATATCAAGTAGTATATCAAATCTGACTTTGTATTACAGTTTGAATATGATAAAAATATGATTTTTAGTGCTCCTTTTGCTTTACCGTAGTCGGAAAAAAAATGCAAAGGTCATTGATCCTAAGAGCTAACTAATCGAATGATTTCTCGAGTGATGTCGAATGCAATTATTGCCTAATACGTATCGTACGTACGTATTACATTGGCGACGTGTATATTTAGTAGGTTGTTATTTACCTAAATATTTGAAACAAGTCTCCTTGCGACCTCCTTTGCTCGGCCTCGTTGATTGAGTAAAGATTGGTAATGCCGAATGCCCTCTAAATACAATTAGTGGAAGTATGTGTATAAATAGCGACTCCTGCTATGCATACCTATGCATAGAACTACATACATTAGCCGGCGAACCTCCATGCACCATTTGAATGCAAGAGAGCATCACGAACATATAGTATAATTTCTCTTCATTTCAAAAGAGGCAGAAGTGGACTGCACATTTTAAATTTGAAGCTCACTTTAACTAGGTCTGATTTCATGTAATTAATGGTGAATTAAAATGATTTGAGTAAATGGTTCTAGAACAGGTTAGTTTTATGTGTACCTTAATTACTATGTAGGTACTTGGAACATTTCAAATTAAGAGCGGACTGATAGGTTGATTATAAATGTTTTACCTTTTTTTATCTAAATAGCCAAAAGCATTACTTAATTATAGTTTAGTATGATACGAATAAAAAAATACTTTTTGAAAACAAACAAATGACCCTTCGCAGGTTTTAGGCAGAAAGAAGTCACAGGGATAAACAATGGTCATTCTTACGTCTGTCATAAGTTCATAAAAGAATGGCTTACTTACACTTTTTGAACGACAGACTTGTTTTTGACACAAACATATATTTTATGTTTCTTGAAATCTGCGGCCTTGGATCTTCTCTTCTTACATAAGAAGTCACAAGTTTTTTGGCCATCTTATTGCTTAAACTCATTAAAATTTTATATGGATGATGACAATTATGTAGTACCTACGTAACTACTAGTTATTTTTATTTACTTTAGTGATATCTACGCTTTGGCAGTCATCAGTATATCTACGTACCTTAGTTCATTCGGCCATTTTACACAAAGACAAAAAAGGTTCTGGATTGAACTGATTCCATGGTGTATAGATATATAATATCGATGTAATATGTAAGTAATTCAATAGCTTCTTCAAATTTACGGTCAAGCCAAAATGATTTAATATCAAAAATGTTTACAATAGTTCGTAGTTTACGATTGGTACACGCGGTCTTCGGCAAACACATTTAACAAAGTGGCGCAATAAAAGTGGTGTAATAATTATCCCACCTACTTACTTAGGTACTCTGCCAACAAGGAAAGAAGACAATCAGTAATTGATACGATATGCATTAGACATGAGATTGTAATACATCCGTGGGGGGTTAATGAATGAATGTTTCGTAACGTAAGTACATGTATTAAGGTGTAATTAAAACCGTGCGGAAGGCAGTGGGTTATGCAAGTGCAATGTTCCGTCCGCGACAGTAACGGTGCCCGTGTAGTATCGAACTTGGAAACGGACACTCTCGGGCCTCTCCCTGCCCCGCCATTTTTGTAGAAAGACTACGTAGGTACAGGCTGTACAGGTTTGATAGCCAAGCGTCAACAAGCAAACTAGACCTGTTTTTGAATCTAGAATAAAGTAGAAAATTTCTTTTCATTTCATAATTTCACTCGAGTTTATCTTTTTAATTTTGTGTTCTTAAGTGTTATGATTTAACATAAATTAAAATAAATGCTTTCTTAGGTACAACTTTTATGTACATTGTAAGTAAGAACGTAACGATATATATTGAATAACTTTCATAGCATCATTTAATTAAATTATAATGTTATTTGTATAGGTAGTAAAAGTACCTAACAAGTTGCTTTAGAATACCAAGCTGAACAAAAAACGACAAAGGCATGTTGTTGTTTAATAAGTAACTTCACGAATATCCAAATAATAGGTAGCCATAAAGGGAGATCACGCCAACTGGGCAGTGAAAGTGGACACCGTACGCTGTACCCGGCTCAGGCGATCGAAAGAAAGTGCCCTGGATGAATAATCCTTTGATTTAACTGCCATCCGTGGAGAGAAAACTTATGCAACAAAGTACCTCCATATTTTTTATTACGCAATTACTATTAAATTTACAGCTGTTATGCCTGTCATGTGTACTTCATTAGCCTTTTACTACGGCGCAGGGGAAAATACTTGACAATCAGTTTAGGGCCTAAAAATACATGTATCATATCATCATCATCAACATCGGTCACAAAATATTTTAACTTCGGGTCTTTCATTCATTATAGTACGTTTACTAGCTGTGCCCGCGACTTCGTTCGCGTGGTTGTCGAAAACAAAACAACATCGTTTAGATAACAGTAGGCTATACACATATAAATTCCACTCAAGAAATATTTTTTTTGCTATTTAAGATCCTGACTGTAGTGTATGTTTATTTAGTAATATTGGTATAGCTGATTACGTTAATGCTTCCTTATATACTGTATTAGCTGTGGAATTACCCGGAGCATATACAAAAAGGTTGTTTGGGTTGCTAACACGTGATAGAGAAACATAGAGTCCACGGTGTGAAAAACAATCAAAAGTATGGTCATGGGGTAACAGACCCTTACAGGGAATTGCACATT